GTTACCGAGTGCGAGGCCGTAGACTCTGAGTGCTTGGACCTCACTGTGGCACGAAAGCCCCTCCTGAATGGACAGCTGACGCCTGACACATACATACCAACCCACACACACACGAGTGTGTGCCTGAGTGAGTGGTTAGGTGTTGTCATCCATCCTGTCAGCTCACTCACTGACCTTCTGCCAGCCGAGGTGAGCATGACTGTCGGATCTCTCATGCACAGCCGGTCCCCCAAAGCAGACAAAGCGCTCACCACCCAACACGAACCACACCGACCCTACACAGACAGGTACAGCCCACCATTCTCTCTCTCTCGTGTGTGTCATGGGTGTGTTGGTGAAGAGCGACGTGTGACGAGCGACGTGTGACGTGTGGCGTCATACCTGTGAGATCACGTGTTTGGGCGGGAAGCACTTGGGGTACGCCTTGCGGACGTCATACTCCTTGGGCGGCGGCTCACCAGACAGATCAATGTGCCGCATCTCCAGCGCCATCAGCTGTTTCAACAGTGGGTACACGTCAGGCCGGTTGCCGATGAACCCCATGGCCGGCACGGGCACATCCTCTGTCCCTGTCCCTGTCGCTGTTCCTCTCGCTGTTTCTGCTCCCGTCTCTCTCTCCTCCGGCACTTGGAAAGTGCTCTTGGTCATCAGCTTGCAGGCGTCGATGGGCAGCGTGACCACCTTGTGTGTCAGCCTCGCCAGCTCTTCAGCATTTTCTGACGGCGGGCCTGTGGTCGTCTCGTTGTGACTGTCATGGCCACTTGTTGCTGTGGTTGGTGCTGCTGTTGATGACGGTGACTGTGATGGTGATGATGTTGATGTTGATGTCGGGGCGGTTGTGGTGTCCGTGCTGGGGGTGGAGGTGTTTGTGCCCGTCACTGTGTCCAGCGGCTGCTGCACATCCTCGGTGGGAGACGGAGAGGGGTCCGAAGAGGGGGAGGGGGCACCGGTCGTCGTCGTAACATCCGCACCCCCGTCACGAGTCCCGTTGCTGCTCCCATTCTCGTACACGAACACCTGCCTCCCACCCTTCCCACCATCCCGCCGCCTCCCCCTCTCTCTCTCGCTCGCCATCTCTGCCGTCCTGCCCTCAACGCCCGCATCCGATTTGCCCACTTGGCCGCCTCTGACGATGCCTTCGCTTGCTGTGGGCCTCCTGAACTTGCCGGATGCGGGTGCCAGGGAAGAGGTGATCGGGATGATGGTTTTGTATCTGGGGGTGGCGATGTACTTCTTGGTGTGGGGGCGGGGGGTGGGGGAGGGGCGAGATCGCTGCTGGGTGAAATGGGGGAGGGAGAGGGGTCGCTGCTGCACAAAGGTCGGGCGAGACGATGATCTCGGCGACGGCGCGGCTATGTGTGGGAACGTCTCATTGTGGTGGGCAGCCGCTGAGCTCCTCTGTGTAGTGGTCGCGTTGTGTCGGCTCCTGTGGCCATTCTCGTGTGCCGCTGCCCGCCTCCTCTCACTCTCGTGCTTGACAACAAGATGGCTGGAAATCGACGCATCCTTCTTGATGTGACTCGTGACCGCGGCTGCTGCCGGCCTCCTCGTCGGCTGGTGCTGCTGCGGCGGCTGATGATGCTGTTGATGATGATGGTAGGTCGCCAGCCTGCCCTCCTCCTGCATCCCCGGCGTGATCTCCATCTCGTGCACATACGACCCAGGCGACGAAGACGGCGACTTGTCCGCACTTCTCTCGGCCTCTTGTTCGATAAACTCGGCACCGAAAGGGAACTTCTCTATGAAAATGGGGTCACCCTTGGTCCGGTCATGCACCCGCACGGCGTCATCTGGATCGATAGGCTCGAGCGCGTTGGTGTCCTTCTCCAAAAAACGCGCTTCCTCGTCTGTGTCATTGGCAGGGAAGTCTGTCTCATTGGTGAAAGGGGAGCCCGGTGGGAGGTAGCTGGGTGGCAGGGTGGTCGTCACGAGAGAGGCGTTGGCGTATGGGGGAGAGGTTGTTGTGGTGCTGGTGGTGGTGCTTGTGGTGGTGGTGGTGCTTGTGGTGGTCGTGGTCGATTGCGGCCGGCCGCCGAAGAGCCCCGGTGCCGCGGTGGTTGTTGGATGTGAGCCGTGTTGGATGCCCCATTGTACCTGAGTAAGGCCGCAAGCACACACGCACGCACGCACACACCCATACACATGACGGCGGAAAAGACCCCCACCCACCGACCCACCGACCTCGAATTGGTGCGTTTTGGGTATATCGTTGTCGCTGGGCACGTCTGTTCTATTGTGACGGTTCTTGGCGGCCACCTTGGCGGTGAAAGTGACACAAATGCCCTGGCAGAGAGCTATCTTGGGGGCCGGCCGGGGCAGCACGGTAAGGTTGAGCTCGGGAAACCCGCTGCCGCACCGCTCACGACGGTCACGGTTGATGAGTGTCTGCGTGACAGCAACCGAGTGCGCGACCATCTTGGAGTCGGGGGAAGCCCTTCTTGGTGCGTCGCCAGCCTCGTTGTCGATGTCACACGCGTGTGGGCTCACCCTTATCAACTCATACCCTTGTCCCTGTCCCTCTGGCTGTGGCTCGTGCGCCGTCCCAGTCCGCACATGGACCCAGAGACGATGCCCCATCGGCTGGGAAGCGACGAAGAAATAGTCGTGAGGCGCTTGGACGATCCGCTTCATCAGCCGGATGTGCACCACCGAGGGGTTCAGCCCGGTCAGGTCACCGTCGGGGCAGCCGCCCCCAGTCCTCTGCTCGTTGATCTGCTCAATAGCCCACAGGAAGGCGCACTTGGCGTCCTCCTCGGCTGTAGTGCCGTTGATGTCCTCCAGTGTGCTGCCCTGCTGGGACTCGTTCAACAAAGGCGCCACGTTGCGGAGCATCATGGACCGGTCCTCGCCCGTCGGCTCCTGCATCGACGCAATCTTGCATGGCGGCGTCAGGTCGCCCGTCACGTTGGGAGCGGCCACATCCCCCAGCGGGGGGATGCTGTCCACACCGCCGCGCATATGCGTCGGATGCGTCGGTCGCCGGCCGTGCTTGGCCGTGAGATTGACCATCAGCTGAGGCTGGATGCTGCCGTCGGAGCTGACGGTGCGATGTGTGGGGTGATGGCGGTGGTCGATGGCGGATGATGAGGGAACCAGCGAGAGCAACGCGGCGATTTCGATGAGCAGCAGCAGCACAGTGGGCGCTTTTTGCATCTGCGGGGCACACAGAAGCCACAGACAGTGAGCACGGGACCCTCCCTCAGTGCAAATGGCGTCCACATTGACCATACAAACAGTAAAACACGCTCGTGGTTGCCAGGTGATGGCTGCGCTTACCATTGCACAGCCGACACAAAATCTACCGGACCCCCAGATGCGATAAGGCTCGAGCCTCAGCGCTGCGTCAGGGGTGATGCAGGCACCCGGTCCGTGGGATGGGGCGGGCTCCCATATTCGAAGTCTTCAGTCGAAGATCAACATGGAAGGTGCGTGCAACCGTGCGGGGATTGAACAAAGCGGTCCGATAGAGTGGCTGAAATCACCAAAACTGGAAGTGGGAGCCTCCCGATTTGTTCATTCGTTCGGAAAGGTCACGATGATTTGGGGCACCACGTCAATCCGCTCCCCCGGTCCAACTGTGCGGCTCGCAGACACAGCGCCAGGGAGAGAGATTGGCATTGCAACCGCTCTTTTTGGTCGTCACATCGTTGCCATCTCGCCGTGTCTCGTCCACGCGCGACACGGATAGGTCGTCTACACGAGTACAACGCTATACAACGCGGACAGAATGACGGTCTCTGGAATGTCGGCTGCATCGGCCTTGTTTTTCTTAAGAATGCGTATGCACGCCCCCCTCCCATTCAGATCTTATCATGGCAGCCCCGTGGCCCCGCCTGCCTTCCTTCCTCCTTCCCTGCCTCCCTCACATACATACAGACAGACAGACAGAGAGCACGTGTTCATCAGACCACTCCTGTTGCCACATGAGGCCCGCCATCTTCCCCTAACTCCTCGTCTCTTGCCTCTTCTCGGTCTGCTGGTGCTTCCCCCCCACCGCTGTCTTCTCCCTCCTGTTCAGCCCCGTTGCCTTGGCCACTTGTGTCGTTGGCTGTTGTCGTGCCGCCCGATGGCTCACCCGACTCGATGGCTTCTCGCAGTGCCTTCCTGGCGTAGCTAAAGAGGGAGACAGGGAGCAGCAAGGCATGCGCAGTCAAGGCTTACGCCTACCGTGTGATGAGGTACACCTGCGTCGAGAGACACAAACAATGGATTGATGGTTGTGTTTGGGGTGTGTGCGTCATCCTTCGTCTTACCGCAATGACTGTGGCCAGGAGTCCGACAGTGATAACGACTGTGTTGATCACGTCCCCACTCCCGCCCCCTGCGTCACGTGTACCAGACACATGGGCAGCTGTGCATATGTGGCCGGCTCCCATGGATGCTCACCGTCCGAGAAAATCGCCGGAATGGCACCGATATATACGTAGAGAGCTGTGCCGGGAATGATGGCGATCGTCCCTGTTCCAGAATGAACAGACAACATAACAGCGTTCATGGAGACATACAAGAAACCGAATGAAACCACCCACCAATGGCGTAATCCTTGTATCGGCTGCTCGTACCGCCCTTCAACCACAACAACAACAGCAACACAGCAGTAGAAGCAACAGCAGCAGCAATGGACACTAGTCATCATGCAGCTCAAAGTGACCGCCCACCATGACGTAATTGAAGGCACTGAAGGGCACGACAGGCGAGAGCCTCAGGAGAAAGTTGATCTTGAGCCCCTGCGTCTCGAAGACGTTGTCGATCGCCTTGATGACGCGAAACTTGTTGACTAAAGACTCAACGAAATCCTTCAAAACGAATCGCCCGCCCAGGAAAGCCAGCTGCGCCCCCATGAAGGCACCGATAAACACGGCAGAGATGGCAAGAGGAAGCTGAGACACATGCGAGGTCGGAGAGACGTCGATCCATTCATGTGTCTCCTGTATAAGCATGGATTGCCAGACGCTCTCACCCCCACACCGATGCCCAACGCGCTGACGAAGGTGAATCCAGCACCTGCATACAAAATGCCATCGGGGAAGAAGGAAGAATGCAAATTGTGCGGTATGCATACCGACCAAGAGTGAGGATGCTGCCGGGAAGAAATCCCACTGTCGCCACCATATAGACCACAACAAATACCGCCCACCCAGGGCCTGGATTGTCCTCCACCCGTTCGAGAAAAGACCTCACAGCGTTCACCATATGCTTCGACTGCATGACATTAAAGCAAGTGTCGCAGCTGCTGACCGACCGACAGTCGCGACATAATACGCCACATACCGTCAGGGAATCAATGACAACAGCGATTATCATGATGATCATAATAGCCAGAATGAGCAGCTCTGAAAGAGAAACCAGCCGACCATAAGGTCGTCTGATGGCGCAAGTCTCCTCACTTACTTTTCCATGACACAAAAACCCACTCTCTCCAGGTGCGTTTGGCCTTGGCTTCGGTCGCCTCCGTCCTTTCCTCTTCGCTCTCGATATGGGCGGAGTCTGGATGCTCCGTGCTCATCTGTTGCAGACAGAGAGATACAGCGCACATGCGCATGACCCATGAGCTGATCTCTCAATGTGCCGGTTACCTCTGCTTCTAGCTCTGAGAGCACAATCAAGGGAACATCAGCCGCAACAGGTCATGGGATCGAAGGACAGTGGTGCATGACTGATGGCTGAAACATGTACCTGGATTTGGCATCCCCTCCTGTTCGCTCTTGTGCACCTTCTTCATGAACGGCTGTGTGGCCACGCACGCCGGACAACGAACGAAATCGATGTATTTTCACCCTTCCTTTCCGATCCCGGCTGACCTTCATAAGCCGCTGGCACCACTCACAGTTTGACATATTCAGGAACACCACAAACTGCATGAACCAATGACCACACCAACCAACGGGCTGGAACGTGGGCTTGGTGCTTTTCTCGTAGTCCTTTCTTACCGGCTGGGCGCCGTTGACAACGCGATGCGTGCGTGCGTTCGCCATTGCGTGTTTGGGAGGGGGGGAGGGGAGGCCTAAGGCGGCCCCAAACGGGGGCCCCAGTTCGATCGTGCAGTGGAGCGTCTTTTGGATTCAAGAGCCCTTTCAAGTACCGTCTTTCGCATTTCACCCCAAAGCCGAACAGCTGTGTCTCCCCTGTCGTCATCATGCGGCTGAACTTCGAGGCCTTTCTTCACCTGCTGCACTTCGGCTTTTTCATCGGGGCTCCTCACCCCGACATGGTGCCGCCCCCGCCCCCCATCAACGAAGAGGAATTCAAGCATCAGACAAGGCATCAGAGGCCCACATGCACTGGGGGTGCTCGCCGTGCAGCCCGTCGTCGAGGGAAGCGAGGACAGCAACTGTCGGCCCCTGCACTGCAGCAAGCCAGCATCAACAGCATCAACAGCATCAACAGCATCAGCATCAGCATCAACAGCGGCACCGGCAGTGCAAGCGGCAACTGGATCACCCGCGACAAGGAGGCAGAGTATCGAAGGTGGACGGCTCCCGCTGCCGGGCAAGCCGAGTTGGGCGACAAGGAACAAGAGAACAAGGGCGGCGTCAGCAACAAGGGCAAGGTGAGAGCGAACTTGGATGAAGTCTCACTTACATGGCATTGTAACGGAAATCTCTATCGCTGTCTCTGCCTCGCACTCAGGATGTTCTTGCCAATGAGCCCTCATCGTCCGCTGCCTCTGCCAGCGCCACCGTCGACAAGAAGGCCACCCGGCTGCAGCGTGTGACACTGCGGGATCACGAGCTGCCCGTGGCGAGGGCTCCGGTGGCCGAAAAGATGGTATCGGTGCTGGTACGTATATGTGCACCTCCTGCACACATCTATCCATCCACCTATCACTCTCTTGTGTCGTGTGGATGCAGGCGGAGAAGATCAAGGGCAGCGGCCCCAGCGTGGTGTGCAACAACAAACACGCCAACACCAAATACAACAACGGAATCTGATAGGGAGACAAGAGGGGAACTCAAGACGGAGGAAAGAGGTATGAAGAGGGGGGGCGGTGGGTGCGTCTGCCTGCTCACTCGTCGTCTTTGCCATTCTCTCGCTCGCCCTTCCTGTCTGTCTGTCTGGCTGGGTTGCCTCCTGTACATGTGACTGATTGGGGGTAGCATCGTTCGTTTGTGTTGTGATGTGCACCGTCCACTGAGAGCACAGCCGGCCCGCCCCACCTAGCTGGCCAATTCCCCCTAGCCCGTCCACTCACCCACTCGCATAGCTCCCTCGCCTGACACACACCTACCTACCTCATAGATGGCAGCGGTTTTCCCCTTAGTTGCCATCAGCACAGCGTAATGAGACAGGGGATAGGTCCACCCATCCATCCATCCACCAGAGAACAGTCAATGTTGAACAGCGGATGGAAGGCAGAGAATGTACTGACTTACATAAGTGTGAAGCGACCGTTCACACCACACCACACGTACATAGCCAGCGGCACAGCACACGTGCATCTGTCGGCCCTTTGAGCTCTCTCTTGCGGGGTGTGTGTATCCATGCGTTTGTGTGTGTGTGCGGACTGTGTGCGTGCGGCCCATCGAGGCCCGCCTTCACGCATCCGTCCATGTCCGTGTCTCGTGGTTGTTTCCGTGCGTGGTGCGTGGATCGACTTATTACATGGCCTGACATATGCATATTGATGTAAATGGATTACTTCTATTCTCCGTCCGACATGCATAAGGTATGTGTGCTGCTAATCATATCTGCCGCTGCTCGATTCGTCCATCCATCTGTCCAACCATCCGTCCATCAATCCATCCATCAATCAATCCATCCATCTGCCGGTCAAATGGACTCACTCGCCTGTCGCACTACACCCCACGTCCTCGCTTTGTCCCATACCAGGCTATTACCATCACAACCACAAATCCATGAGTACTGTATGAAGAAGATTGCTCAAAAACACATGGCCACAAGTCATCGAGACACCCCGCCTATCCCCCATCGCCCCGTCATGCAATCTGCTCATTGCTGGCCAGCTTGATACTCAGGTCCAGCCTCTTGGTCTGCACAGCGGTGGAAGGGATGCCCGTCCCCTCGGCCCTCAGCACGCTGATCTTGACCGTCTGGCCCGGCTGCAGGTCCTCCAGCACCTGGAACAGATCACCCTCATCGTTGATGGGCTTGTCGTCGAGCGACACAATGATGTCACCCAACTCTGACACACGCACACACACACACGAAGGTCATCAATCATTCATACACGGATGGAGGGGGCCGGCATCGCCTACACACCGATGTATCCCGCGACGCTTCTCCGGGTGCCCTTCATGCCCGCCTGGGCGGCGGGCGACTCTCTCGGCACATCGAGCACCAGCACGCCCTTGTCGATACCCAGCACACGCGCCTGGGCTGAGTTGAGTAGCGTCACGCCTATCCGCGGCCGCAGCACCCGACCGTCCCGGATGATGACCTCAACGATGCGCTTCAGAGTGTCGACGGGGATTGCTGTGCAGCACAAGGCACGTGGAAACACATGCACACATGTGGGTGAGTGATTGGAGGCTCTTCAGTGTGTGCCTGCGTACCGAATCCAATGCCGGCGCTCGCACCAGTGGGCGACTTGATGGCCGTGTTCATGCCTGCATTCACGCAACACAAACATGGATGTACCATGGTCAATCCCGAGCCACCCAACCCTGATGTGCCCACCGATCAGCTGCCCGGAAGTGTCGAGCAGGACTCCTCCTGAGTTGCCAGGGTTGATGGCTGCGTCTGTCTGGATCACGTTGTCGATGCGCCGGCCGTTGGGCGACCGGATCTCCCTGCCCAGGCCCGATACAACACCTGTCGTCAGGGTGTGATCCAGGCCGAACGGATTGCCTGAAAACGGTGATAAGGAACACGAACGCGTGTGCATATAAGCACTGTTGACGCGCACACGTAGCACCGACCGATAGCGAGGGCTGTTTGTCCAACACGGACCCTCATCGATTCGCCCAACGCGACGGGCCTGAGGTCCTTCGCGTCTGCCTCGATACGCAGGACGGCGATGTCCTTGTCGGGGTCATAGCTGATAGATCAGCCCATACACGCAGACACAGACAAGTATGTAATCGCCTTGCTCTCACGTCTAGTGGCGCCTACCCAGCAACAGCAGCCTTGTACTGCACTCTCTCGGTCTTGCCGCCCTTGGTGCTCGTCAAGGTGACGGCGGCCGACTGCGCATTCTCAATCACGTGGAAGTTAGTAACGATGTGCCCCTTCTTGTCCCACACGATGCCGCTCCCCGTGCCGGCTGGGAACTCCATAACGTTCATAGTGAATGCATCTCGCCTCGCCACAAACGTGTCGATAAAGACGACTGACGGTGTGGCATCTTCAAAGAGATTGATGACGCTCTGCTCGTCTCGCTTCAGAGGGGGGGCCGTTCCGTCAATGTAGGACACGGTGAGCAGGCTGGAGGGCTCGGCCGAGGCAGGGAGCGTTGACACGACCGATGGCACGTTTCGCTGAGAGAGGAGATCGAAGGTTGATGGGTTGAGGGGGAGGAAGAGCAGACAGAGGCTGACGAGCGACAGCTGACAAAACGATAAAAATGCCCTTGAGGACGCCGCAAAGTCCCTCCAAGCACTCCCTCCATCATATCCCCTCCAGTCTTCGACGACTGCGTCCGCCTTCTCCTCTCCTGCTTCGTTCGCAGACTCATGCAAACACGTCAGCAGGCCTTCTCGTCTCGTGTGGATAGACAGATGCTTCCTGAGAGGTCCGCCGCCCGTCACCCGCCCTGCTGCCGGCTGGCCGAGGCCGATGAACGCTGAAGCGGAATGGGACGTCCCGGCGGATGATTGAATAACATTGAAGAACGTTAAAAGGCCGAGCAGAGCCAGCACCATCCTTCCCAGATCAGTCACTTCACCATTCACCTCTGAATCATCCGTCGAGAAATCGCGAGGGTGAGACGGGGGTGTCTTTCCCTTTTCGTCAAGCCAGGACAGGCGGACCGCACCGACGAGGACGAGAGGCAGGTGGGTGGATGGCTGGATGGTGCGAGCACAAACACAGCCAATACCAACACTGTGGATGCTCTCTCTGTGTGTGTGCTGTGTATGTGTTCAGCTCGTTCGTATCTGCGGTTCCAGCATGCCTTCCAGTGTCTGCACCGCGGCTCGTTTGACACACTCGCCGTGGCCCTCGACGTCGGCCCGTCAGCGTTGCGCCGTTCGTTCGAGATGTCGCTGCTGGAAAGGCCCGCCCTCACACGAGCCGTCAAGATGACGCTCTCGCCGAACGACGTGCACGCATCTGTCGGACACGCTGAGCTCATCTGGTGGGTAAATGGACGAACGGATGGATGGCTGTGTGTGCATGGGGTCGATGGTTCCACGTGTAATTGTGTGTCAGGCGTGGGCTTCGTCGCAATGGCCGTGCCGATGCGTCCACGTCAGAGGCGCTGGCACACCTGAGGCTGTTGTTGTTCTTGAAGGTCCCCTGTTGCACCTTTCTTGTCGTTTCTGCAACGCTTTGACACGGCATGCCCGCCCCCCCACCTCTCCCGTCTCCTGGCGCCAACGCGCCGTCTGCCGTGTCGCTCTGCACGGCTGCGGGCACTCCAGCCGCCTTCTACCCTTACCTTCACCGTCCATGTCCGCACAGAGACCTTCTACGACATCGGTCTGCCGGTCGAGCCTCAATGCATGGCTCACCACACGCATCCGAGTGTTTTTGTGAGTCAGCTGCTCGACCGGTTTCTGTCGCGTGAGCTGCTGAGCGACTACAGAACACAGTGAGTGGCAGATACACGCCACGGACATGATGGACGGATGGAGAGTGTCAGTCGATTCACAGGGCGACGCTCATCACCGATAAGGAAGAAAAGCTCAGCAAGAAGGATCAACAGGTGGGTGAGCAGCCCAATCCTTGCACCTACATGAGCCACCTTATCTCTCTGTGTCCGTGTGTGTGTGTGCCAGATCAAAATGCTGCAACAGTGAAGCACAGTCACACATGCAGAGAGAACATCTTTGGTGTGTGGATGGATGAATGGATGGATGTGTGTGTGCAGAGAGCCCTATCAGCGGTTCGTCATCAGCGCGCACTTCGGATACGAGAGCCCTTTCAGCACCCAATTGCAAGCGACTTCGGAATCCGCGTTTTGCACTTATCGTGCGATTGCCGCTCTCGTCATCATGCGGTTCGAGGCCTTTCTGCACATACTGCACACATGTGCGGGCACACATCAGCGGTTCAGTGCCGACAAGCGCGTGCAGATGACGTGTTTCCGGTCCCGGCTGGAACAGGTGAGCAACCAAGCTGGCGGCCCCTCTCTACCTAAATATCTCTCTCTCTCTCTCTGTGTGTGTCTGTCTGTCTGTCTGTGTGTCGGTGTTCAGTTGGGTATGGCGGAGCAGCTGCAGCTGATACGCAGCGACGTGTTCGACGAGACGAGTGGCCATTCATTGCTCGTATTTCCTGGCGCCCATAGGGATGTGAGACTGACACACATCCCTATGCACACATCATAGTCCGCCCATCTGTCTGTCTGTCTGTCTGTGTTGCATGGACAGGTCGACTACTCTATGATGAAGGCATTGGTCAAGGAGCTGATCGCCAAGTTGACGACATCCGTTGACGGCATAGCCGTAGCCGCCCAGGCATCCCTCTCCTTTCAGAAAGAGCGATTGATTTGCTAGGATGGGCAACGGCTGTGCTAGGCTGTGTCAAGAAGGACCTCGATGTGGCGCTGCAGGAGGACCTGACGAGCACACGGCAGGTGCGATCGATGGATGGGAAGACGTCAGTGCCTTTCGGACGAATTGCTGTCTGTCTGCCTGTGCCTACAGTTGGGATGGACGGCTGAGAAGGAGATATATACGGCTCACCCAAGGGAGGCCGTGTGTTCTTGGGCAACGACGCGAAGACGTACGACAACGTACGTCTACGATGAAGGATTCTGGGTGCCCTCGTCTGAGAGTAATGAGTTGCATTAATGGAATCATTCGCTCCCCCACTCACTACTCACACAAAGCTCGCTGACCGAACAGTTCTTCGACCAGAGAATAGAGGTGAGCTCACGCGTTGACGGAACTCACAGGGGTAGACAAAGGTGAACTGGGTGTCTTTTCTGTCCTTGTGTTTTGCCAACTTTTGTCAGGAGAACGTCAAGTTCGACCGAGACCAATCTGAAAAGACCATCACGCAGCTTCAGAACATGGTGAGTGGGCAGAATTTCTCTCGCTGCGCTCCATGGCTCTGCGTTGGAGGGCAGGTGGTACAGATGGTGGGTCCACGATTCGTCATCTCCACTGAGTACTTGTGTGCTTGTGTGTGTATGTGGATTGCAGTTGTGTGTGCGCAGGGACGAATATGACACGCAAGGCGTGTGCCTTTCTGATCGCTGCCTACATTTTATAACTGCTATGTTGGTGTGTGCATGGCTCCGCATCGACGTAACAAGACACTTCTCTCATTCAAACTTCATTGCGCACTGAACATCGTCTACATCCATTATGCCCTAAATGACCCACAGACAGGACCGGACACACACCACGGAAAACGCTTGCCGCCCAGCTCATCATGTGTGATGGCTCCAGGCAGATGGCGGACGATACGCGGTGTCTCGATACTCACATGCCTTCGGAGCCCTTGTTAGTGCGTCTCTGACATTAGAAAGGCAACAGAGTGAGCTGTGCAGGTGAATGTTTATGTGCTATCAGGTTACTTGATGATTGACGCAATATTCTCGTCAAGCTGTCGCTTCTCTGCCTCAAGCCCATCCCTTTCGTCCTCCAAAGACTCGAGTTTATCTTTGCCGTGACTCACGAATCCTTGCAGAAACAGAGCCAGGGACAGGAGCTCACTTTTGGAGCACTGCCTACACGGCGAGCAAAGCACACACAGCACACTATCGCCTTTCTTCCTCTTGCCTCTTGTGTGCGTTCGACTCGCCTGAGGGACTCCGGTGTCGCGAGCATGCCTCCAGCGCAGTAGACAGAGAGCAGCTTATCCCAATCAGGCTGCACGGATGCAAAGTCTACGATGGTCTTCTCGTCTTCCGAAGGGCTTGCGCACTCATTGCCACTTCGTTCCATTCGTTTGCCAGCAGCGATAGACTGATGCTCTCGCGCAATGCTCTCCAGGACACAGTCGTCTTCGCAGTCCGCCTCAGGCGTCGAGACATCTCTCTGTTGAGCCGGCTCCGCCAAGTCAGCCAATACACGGTCTGGTGGGTACAGAGACACCACAGGGGGGAAGACGGTCCATGCAGAATGAATGTTGTGTACACGTGTCTCATGTATGTGTGTACCTGCTTCTTGCTGCAGCTCCATCATGTCATCTTCAGGGCTGTCTCCCTCGCACAGAGACTCCAGCAAGGAATCTGCTGTTTGCCGTCGATCGTCCAGAGACACAGAGGGCTTCCTCACAGTTTCCGATAGATCCGAGGGGACGCGTGGCAGCTCGAGACAAACCAACCCGCCTTTGACCCGCACCAAGCGCTCGTCTTGATGGCCGGCTGATTGCTCTTCCTCTGTCCGCTGCCAGTGGGCTTCTGTTCCACCATTCTCAGTGTCTGCGCTTTCTGATGCCGAGACGTCGGTCTTTATGGGCTCTGATGCAGCTGTACCAGAGCCCGATTCCAGCCATCTTTCGACAGGGAGGTCTGCTGCGTTGACAGCGGGACGCGGCGTGGGCACAAGAAAGGGACGGCGTGTGTCATCAGCAGCGTTGGCAGATGTAGAAACGCAATCATCGCCCTCGGCTCCAGCAGCTTTGGCCTTCGTCTTCCATGCCGCAAGCCGAGCCTCGAAGTCTTCCAGCAGAACGAGGAAGAAGGGATCCATGGGGTGGAATCTTGACACGTGTCTCGTCTTCATGTCTTTTCCTTTCCCCCTGCTCTCGCCTTCGCGGAGGTAGAAGGTCACCCCGGTGTCGTGGTGGTGCTCAAACTGCCATCGGAGAGGAAGAGGGCACAGCTGCATGGAGAAAAAGACAGTCGCGGCACATGGCTGCAAACGGTGAATGAAGAAATTCTATTGATAGTTCTTCGTCGTACCACGGCCAGCTTGAGTGCCCATGTCAGGGTGGCACGATTGCCTTCAGGCACATCGTCTTTGGACTTGAGAAGAGTTGATGGCCTGATGGGGCGGCATGTGATTTGAGCAAACGCCTCAAAATATCTGGAAAAAGGGACATGATCTCTTTTTGATCTCCTGCCTGATTGATTTAATACCTCGCAAACGCCACGAGGTGGTCGTGTCTGATAAAGGGGGTGCCATCGATCACTTGAATGTCTATATCCCCACCACGACAGGAGCCGCCGGGACTCGCCCTGGAAAGCACAAGAGAAGAAGGGACACCGTTACGATGCGTGACGGCACACACTGACGGACTTACCACATACCTCACCACTGGCCGCGCAATCTGCTGTGCTTCCTCGATAGAGCATCCATCGAGTGGCAGAGGCCACTGAGACATGCCAAACGGATAATTTCCCTCAATCCTGCACGCCAAATCCGCCCCTTCCTCCCGTCTGTATTGCCAAATGAGGCTGCCGGGGAGGGGCTCATACTCCATGGCATGACTAATCCCCTCCATGTGCGACAGCTCATGTGGGTGCTGCCACTGGCAACACCGACATGCGGCACCAGTGACATCCTTGTATGAGTAATACGGGATGCCAGGCCCGTACTCGCATTTGTCGTCCGTGACATGGTTTTGCCAGCCATCGGGGAGGGGGCCGATAAGCATGTGGGCGACCTGGGGCAATAGTGATGGCTCGAGAACCGGATTCACACCAAGATAACACGAGTATCGGACGACCTTTGATAAACCAAAGAAGCAGAGGTACATGGTTGGTGTGAGAGTCTTTGTATGCCAGCTCATCCTTGGTGGTCGATTGACAGCTCTTCACCTGATTGGCAAACAAGGTCAGCTCTGGCGGAATGTCTTCAGCACTGGAACGCTGCCGAGCCTCCATCCCAATAGCGCCCTCAGTCTCTTCCAAGTCATCCCCCTCTTCGTCACCATCGTACTCATCGGCAGCAAAGAGCTCACCGAGCCACTGGGGAACCTTGTAAAATAGCGAAAACAAGCTCCCCGGCATGCTTGACATGCAATGGGCTGTCTCTTCGGCATCGAAAGGCACCACTTGCTCCTGCCTCCCGCGCAGATTGTGATTGAGGACAGCCCTGATCTGATTCTGGCTCTCGCGCCACATGCTTTGCAATGTCTCGCTGAAGGCCAGCCATGTCCCGCTTGGCCGGCTGTCGACCCACGCTCTCGGGGGAGGGCCGTGCGCACCACAAGCGGCCACAGGCTGGATGTACAAGTCCGAGAGATCGTGTTTCAGCCCCGTCAGCGGCGGGGGGGGCGGCAGCCGAAGAGGGGCGATGGGCGGGGGCTGCGATGAGCGGCCGACTTCAAGTTCAACTTGTTCCATGTCGTGATGGCTGGCCTGCACAGCAACCACCTGGGCTTCCACGCCGCGGTGGGATGGTTCTTGTTGCTGCTCGCCGGCCTGAATCTCAAACACTGGCTGCAGAGCGGCCGCCATGGGGGAACAATTAAGAATTCACTGCAACCAATTCCACTGCAAAGCTGCTTCTCGAAGAGCCGAAAGAGCGGCTCCGTGATGAGGAAGCGAACTGGCTGGATCTCACTCCTATGCTGGCTAAGCTCGCACTTTTCCTCCTGAGCTCGCAGACTGAGCAGCCGATGTGAGCAAAATGGAGGCTGAAGACCGACTGATACGATGCTGCTGTACCAAGATCTTGCTCGTCTGGTGGCTGAACTTCATCTCATGCGACTCCTTCCTTCTCCCCACCTCCCGCACCGCCCGCCGGCGCTCTCTGATTCATCGAACACGTCCACGGCCGCCATGGCATATATCTCCCGGTGTCAGTGCGTCAGCAACTGTGCTGCAGAAGGTGAAGGGCTTCGGCATCGGCGGATCTGCAAGGCCGCAACGCAGCGGCCTCAGTGAGTCCGGCGAGGGATTCTCCGCGACGGCCAATGAGACCGAGAGCTCAGCTGATCCATCTAGGGCGCAGGCGCTGGGGACGCTGTTCAAGAGCGAGGATGAGGAGATCCGTGAGCTGGGCAGTGACGAGTTCCTGGACACCATGCGGCTGTGGGCACCCATGAGCAACTTTGTGGTCAACGAAGGGGTGAGTGGGGTCGGCAGGAACGCACCTATACACACACTCATGGTACCTTGCTCGTCTGTTTGTCTGTCGCTGCCTTTCTGTATCAGAACGCGAGTTCCAGGGAGGAGGGCAACGCCACGCGTCTTGTGTTGCAGCAGATGGCTGAGTGGAAGCCGCCTCGCTCGGGCTCGTACCTCGGCAAGACGCCCGATTGGCGGTTCGGCGCACCCGTCGGAGCGTTCAAAGGCGGCCAACTGGATGCTGTGGCCTGCCTTGAGGTACTCACTCTGCGAATGGTCACATCACAAGACTCGTGTTTGATGTGTGTCGGTGTGTTTGTTGCAGATATCTGAGAGTGACGGTGTGGTTGTGCGTTATATAGTGCTGAACCCTCTCAACATAGGTGTGGAGGGCAATGCTGCCGACTGGCTGATCAAGGGGATGGCATTCATATGTCGCGAGAGGCTCGGGATGAGGCTGGACATATATCCGCTGATGCGCGTGTATGATGGGCGGTACTATGACGCCCACAAACATTTGTGTGAACAGAATGAGGTTGAGAGGACGTCTTTGTGACACAATGATGGACTCAATGATGATTGCATTGCATTCATGGACACAGATACATATAGTAGAGGGGTCCGTCGATACCGGTTGCTGCCTGGACACAAAGGAGAGAGTAGCGAATGGATGGATGGATCCATGCACCCCTCCCTAGCCTAAGTCAGTCAATCAGTGTATATATACGGCAATACGGAGACCCAACAAGCACACGCACATGTACACGCACCACACGAGACTCCCTTGGAGAAACCACCACACCGCACCATACACACCCCGCCCATCCCTCAGTCAATATCATGGCCGTCACTAGCACCAGATTGTTCCCCTTCCAACTCTACAGGGGAGAACCCCTCCACATCAGCAAGACGCCGCTCGTATCCCCTGCAACGACATACGGCAGGCTCATCGAATGGCGCAGGTGGGTATAAGCAAGGGTTGTTGGTTTGCGGTTCTCATTCACCTGATGGTGTCCCGCAGCTCTTTGTTTCTCTTTGCCAGCTGCAGGATGGTGGCGTTGGCCTTCTCGGTGCGATCGATCAACTCTTGCTTGAGCCGCTCCACCTTCTGGCCCTGCACACATCACATCCATGTGACACACATGGGAGATGGATGTCCTCGCCCGTCCACCCCACCCCACCACACTCCACTCACCAGCTTCCGTGTGACGTCTTCGTACTGCCTGATCCTGGCGTCGCGGTCGTCCTCTCGCTGAGGTCTCATCGGCACACGCTCGCCACTCGCCTGTCGCCTCAGCACCCCCTCCCTCTGTGGCCTCAGCTGGGGCTTGCCGCGAACGTTGGACAGGCGGTGATACACGGCCCCCACAGCCAATGGGGTGGAAGAGGCCGAGTGCGTCAGCCCACGGCCGACACGGCTCACCGACGCCGACACAGACGCGGGAGTGGGGCTGGACGTGTGGGGGTGGCTGGTGTAGGCGGGCATCATCACCCGATGGTCCGACTGAGCTGCCGCTGCCTGCCACTGCCACTCGTGTGCATGGCGACCAGTCAGCTGTTGGCCCGCCAACGTCCGCTTGGTGGGGCTGGCTGTGGTCGCCACACCCACGCCCACACCTTCACTCATACCACCAGCACGATAGTGGCCCATCCGTCGCGCATAAGGCGACGCACCTGGTCCCAGCTTGAGCCTGTTGGCCTGGCCGGCACGTTGATGTCGCACTGGTGGTGCGTTGCGGCTGATAGATGTGGATGGGCTCATGACGGACGAGGCGGCGTCGACACTAGCTGACGGGGGGGAGAGGGTGTTGGAGGTGAAGGTTGGGGGAAACGGGGGCAGGTCAACCACCATTGGGTGGTGTGGGGGGATGGGGGAGCGGTCGGTGGGCGAGGCGTGAGAGCCGTCGTCGTCCTGGGGGTAGTGTGGTGGGTTGGGGCTTCGGGTGAGGAAGCGCCTGGCGGGGCTGTCGCTCTCCGACGGCGTCGCATTCGGATCCAAAATGCGACGCAGACGCGTGTTCTCATCCTAACATCCAAACAGAGCGCGTCAATTCCGGGTGGAGGAGTGGCTGCGTGAACAGTCACAAACTGACCGTTTGGTACTGCAGCTGCCTTCTGAGGTATGCGATTTCGTCGTGGAGTGTGTGTCGATTCTCCGACAGCGATTGCACCTTCTGTACGTGGTGCAGCGACTGCTCTACCAGCTCCTCCGTCAACCTGAAACACAGACATACACACACACACAGACACACGCACAGCTGTAGATGGCTGAGAGTTGGTAGACGTGTGTGTGTTAGTGTCTCTGTCTTGGCACCTTTCGTTCTCTTCGTGGAGCCTGGCCATTGCATCGGTTGCCCTCTCCTCTCCCCTGTCCCTCTCGCCCTCCTCCTCAGCCAGGTCGTCATCCGTCGGGATGGGCAGCACGGGATGCGACACATGACCCGACACCTCACGCACCAACGAGAAGGGGAGGCCCCCCTCACCCCCCACAACCAACCCTCTCCTCCCGTCACTAGCAGTACGGCTGCCCACCGGCTGGGCCAACACGGCCCCACCACTAGTACCAGCAGCACCAGTGGCGGCTATGTCCTCGTCATCGTGCGATGGCTGGTGTGGGTGTGGCCGTCCTGTCTTGGCCCCTCCCAGCAGCAGCTGCTGTAACACCTCCTCTACCTCTTTGTCGATCCTATCGTCGGCAGCTGATGCGGACGCTGCATCCCTCCCCACCCCACCGATCCCAACACCCTCCGAGGCAGCAGATGGTGCTGCACCTGCCGCTGCCGTTGCCGTTGCCATGCCGGCGAAGGGCACCGAACAATGGAGGTTCCGTACGCTGGGGGAGTGGCGCAGGTGACTCAGCAGGCCGCCGCTGGTGGTCGGTGGGTCAGGGGCAGTGGCGCGGGCATGAGTATGGTCTTCGTGTGAGATGCCTGGTCTCGGCCTTGACTTTGCCATCGTTCTGGCGGCCTCCCGAATGCGAGTCGAGAAGTCGTTGGATGCAGATGCGTGTGGGGCCGATCGCGGCGCGTCTTCACGAGAGGCTGCGATGGACGGCTGCTGGGGCCTCGGCGCGAGAACAGACGCTCGCTCGTTGCCCATGGCCGACGCACGGGCGATCAAATCCTCCTCCCGTCGAAGAGCCATCAAAGCCTCTGTACCACGGCTGTCCACCCAGGCAGACACGCCACTGCCCTCCTCGCATAGCGGCGGGGCTTGGCTGGCAGCATGTGGTGCTGTTTGTGGTGATGATGGCTTGTCGTCTGCATCATTGTCAGCCTCCGCCTCCGCATCATGAGGCCTGCCGGGGTGATGCTCGTGGTCCTGGTCGACCCCCTTGTGCAGGTCAGCCAGCCGAAGCGGCGGGATGTGCACGCGAGGCCGTGACACGAACAATCGCGCCCCAGGTCCGTCTTCCCCTCCGCCCCTCTCCCTCTCCCTCTCCCCCACTCCAAGTCCCTCTCCCCCATCGATGTCACGGTGGCTGCCGTTGCCCCGGTAGGAGGTGGCGAGTGACGAGAAGCCCGGCGAAGACGACTGGTCCTCCGAGTAGCAGAGGCTCGACTCAGACGGGCTCTTGGTCCGGCGGGGGCGAGGGGGGCGGGACGAAGCGGACGGGGACTGCCGGCGGGAGCTCAGGAAGGAACCTATCGACTCCCTCTCGTCAGCCTCGTCGTCGGGGGGCCTCAAGTGGGGCGACGGCGTGTCAACAGCGGCCGCAGAGGAGGGTCCACGTCCACCATCCTCATCTGCCGTGTCCTCATGGTCGTGTGCAGCCGCCTCATGGTCAGTGCCAGCATCACCACTAGTTGCGCTGTCTGGCGGGGCTGACGCGAATGCATCTGGAGCAAGGATCAGACCCTCAGGCCACTCGGCGTCACTAATGGGAGGCGCGCTGACAATGACGAACGGCGAGAACGCAGTGGGAGGCCTCGCCGACTCATCGAATGTTGCTGCCCTTGTTGCGGTGTCATTCTGGTGGCGGCTGATGGATGCAGCCCCGAAAGAAGATGGGCGATGGGCATGTGTTGGCGCCGCCTCGTCTTGGGGATGCCGGCCACCCTCCTTATCATCATCAAGAGCAGCACTCTCCTCGCCATCGTGCGCATCACCGTCGAAAACCACAGCCTCCATCAATCAATCAACCAGCTCACGGAGAATCGACAGATCAACACGGCCGCTGACCTCCGCCGGTCGTCAGCTCCGCACTCGCAGCTATTCTACTACCTCCACACGACAGGGTTCGAAGTTCAGGGTTCTTCTGCGAGCTTTTTTCTTCTTCCCTGTGCCTTCTTTTAAAACGGGGATCTGCGGTGATTGGCGTGCGATGACAGGCGTTGACATTGTCAAGGCGGTGAGCCGCTTCGGTGGCGTTCGATCAGTCATAGTGTTCAGCGGCGTGACTATCGCCGCCTTGGCTGCCCTGCTGGCAATGAGAGGACGCAAACGGAAGCACTCTGACCTCTCTGAAGCCAAGAGCAACTCATCCGACAGCGCGAGTGACCAAGATGGCGCCTCCACTACCGCAGGCACATCGTCATCATCCAATGGCGAATCATCAGATTCTTCTGACGGCCACCATCAAGCTGATGACGTTGAGGACATTGTGGTTGCTGGGGATGACTCATCGACAGGCGACAGCTTGTTCGTTCGGTGGTCGAGAAGGGCTGGGTTGGTGCAGCCACACTCGGCTAGGAGGCGCAAGGAGGCGAGACTGTCTGGCGCGGCTGATGTGGATGACACTGCAGCAGCTGCAGCAGCAGCGGGGGCGGCATCGCCAGGTGTGCCGGGCACTCAGCGGGTGTACGTCAAGACATTCGGATGCTCCCACAACACTTCCGACGCCGAATTCATGAGTGAGTCTTATCGTATCGAGGCAAACGGCACACGACGCCCATTGGCCGTTCTGGTATGTTTGTCTGTCGTGCATGTGTGGCTGCTCTGCTGCAGTGGGTCAGCTGTCGTCGTATGGGTACCATTTGGTGGACAGTCCGCAGGAGGCCGACGTGTGTGTCATCAACTCATGCACCGTCAAGGGCCCATCGCAAGAGGCATTCATGACGGCCGTGCAGCGCGCCAAGGCCATGGGCAGGCCAGTGGTGGTTTCGGGCTGTGTGCCCCAGGCCGACCGCACCATACCTGGTCAGTCACTCAGTCAGCCTGCCGGCCATGCAGCAGAGAGGCAGGGAGGGAGCTGTCCGGTGAGTGCATTATGTGTGTGTGTTGTGTTGTTTGTAGGGCTGGAGGACGTGAGCGTCATCGGCATTACGCAGATCGACAGTGAGGGAAATGGACTGATTGATGGGATGGATGGATGGATGGATTCATGGACTAACGCGAGTGCACACGTGTGTGTGTCGTGTGTGTGTGGTGTGAGTGTGTAGGGGTGGTGGAGGTGGTTGAACAGACGCTGCAGGGGCATATTGTGCGGCTGCTGGGCAAGAAAAGGTCAGTCGCCCACCAACGGCACCTACCACCAGGCACACGCATCGATACCATGTCTGCCTGTGTGTGTGTGGATCCCATGCAATGCAGTCTGCCGAGCCTTGATCTGCCCAAGGTCAGGCGCAACCCTCACGTTGAGAGTAAGCACACCACCCCCACAACCACCACACACACAGCTGAGGAGAACGGTCATCATATCATGCGTCAATGTGTTGTGGTTCGACCGATGGATCAGTCATTCCCCTGAGCACCGGCTGCCTGGGGTCCTGCTCATACTGCAAAACCAAACACGCACGGTAGGTAGGTACTCAGGCAGGCCAAGACACACGAGAGGGGTGGGGTAGCATTCACTGATTGAAGGCAGGCACATCTTGAATCTGTGTGTGTTGTCGTGTCGTGCATGTGGGTACACACATACTGACGATACGATCAGAGGCAAGCTGGGGAGCTATGAGACGGAGGCCATTCTGGACCGAGTGAGGCGGGCCATCTCGGAGGGCGTCATGGAGATCTGGCTCACCAGCGAAGACACAGGTGGGTGGCTGGGTGGGTGGGGTGGGTAACACACACACACACACACACCAGCCCGCTCACTCACAGAGAGATCCCTACTGCACTGCATGTGGTTGGGTTGCATGTGTGTCATGTGATTGATGCACTCACTCTGCACGCTATATCATTCAGGCGCCTACGGCATCGACCTGGCCACCGACATCGCCGCGCTGCTGCGAGCGGTGGTCGGGGTGCTGGAGGCCCACCCCGGCTCAGCGGGTAGGGTGATGGTGCGGCTGGGCATGACGAACCCGCCGTACATGCTGCGGCACTGCGGGAGTGTGGGTGAGGTGCTGCGACATCCGCAGGTCTACGAGTTCATCCACGTCCCCATACAGAGCGGGTCAAATGATACCCTCAGACACATGGTGGGTGGGTGCCAAAGATGGGCGGATGCATCTGTGGTGTGGATGGATGGGTGGATGTGTGTGTGTGTGTGTGTGTTTATCAGGTGCGCGAGTACACTGTCGAGGACTTTCATGCTCTGGTGGATGGGCTCAAACAGAGAGGTGGGTGGGTGGGTGCGTCAGAGAAACAGAAGGGTCACACACAGACACACACACACACAGGCAGGTGCGTGCATTTCTCTCTCTCTCTGTGTGTGTGTCTGGTGTGTTGTGTTCAGTGCCGCGGCTGACCGTGGCGACGGACATTATCTGCGGCTTCCCCACCGAGACGGACGACGACCATCAACAGACACTGGACGTCATCAGAAGGCACAAATTCCCTGTAAGCGTGATACGATCACATACACACCAAGAGAGACAGAATCACGCACACGTGGGCCCTTTTGTTTGCGTCGTGACGTCCATCCATTCATCCATTTATCAGGTGTTGAACATCAGCCAGTTCTACCCCCGCCCCGGCACCGCTGCAGCAAAACTCAAGCGACTCCCCAACCATGTCGCCAAGACACGAAGCGGTCAGCAGCCTCACCTTACCCGACACACCCACACACACAGACACGTGTGTGTGTGTGTGTGTGTGTGACGCAGGTGAGGTGACGTCTGTGTTCGAGTCGTACGAGACCACCAGCTGGCTGCAGGACACCGTGCAGCGTGTGTGGTTCTGCGAGCACTCCACCCGCAGCCAACACACGGTGGGTCACACCAAGCAGTACGTCAAGGTGCTGGTGAGGAGGGACGAGCAGCTCCTGGGCAAGAGCGCATTTGTGCGCGTGACGTCCACACACAAGTGGCACGTGCTGGGGGAGATATGCCAGCCGCCGATGGACGTCGAAAAGGGAGAGCCATGATGGATGGATGGCGTAATGGATGTGTGTGTGCGTGTGTGTATGTGAGGGCGTGTGGCGACGTTTGTATAGCTATCTACAGCTAAGGGTCGCTCCTGTACGTGCATGGACAGTGGACAGACAGTTGTGTGTCGATTCATGTTGATTGCATCGGTCGACTCCAGTATATGAACCCAAACACGGTGTGTCTCTTCAATGTGGGTGCCTTTCGCGGCACAACATCCATCCATCCGTCCATCCATCCATCCATTACGCTGCCGCCTGTTGCGCCAGCTGCCCCTTGTGTCCCTCGCCCGTCAGCTCATGCTGCTGCTGCTGCTGCTGCTCAGATGATGGCCCCATCGACCGCCGCCACAACTCGTTCTCACCAAACACACGCATCAGAGGCAAATCCCTGCACACACACCCAACACACACAATGGTCCATCAAACAAGGCCTTTGGGGCGGCCGCTCACCGTTTGTGTGCCTCGAGTGAGCTGAGTATGTCGTGCCTGACGCCGAGTGCTTTGAGGTCGCACACCATTGCGTGCCAGTCGACGCCCGAGAACTCATCCCAGTGGTGCAGCGACCGACGGCCGACCGCATTGGTGAGGGTGGAGTCGCGGTAGCCTGTGTGCTCATCCACTCGACGCTGCGCACACCACACACACACAGAGGGAGGGAGGGAGGGAGGGAGGGAGACATGGGTCGCTGCTGTGGCTGTGGCTGTGGCTGTGGCTGTGTGTGTGGGCGTGTGGGGGACTATACCATTGCTCGAGCGGCCCTTGCGTAGTCGACAGGTTCGAAGAGGTCGAGGTGTCTGTGCATGAGCCGGTAGAGCACGTTGAAGGCATGCGTGTCCCCCACACCACGGTCCACGAACACCTGTTGATTGATTTGATGGATCAACGGATGACATCAGACGAAGCCGGCCAATGGTCTCTGTGTGTGTATGTGTGTGTGTGTGTTGCTCACCTCTGTGAGTTTAGGGACGTCGAATGTGGTCCGATCGGATGCATCCACCGCCTTGACACGCTCTACCAGACCCTGTGTGTGGGGCCACACACACACACACACACACAGAGGCATCCATCCACTGGCCACCACCAGGTCACATTCCCTCTCACCTGTATCAGCTGCTTCTCGAGTTTGAGGTGTCTCCTGAAGTCAGGATCGTCCCTGCAGTAGTACTTCTCGCCGCCGAACAACCCGCCGCCCATCCAGCCCCCACCCCCACCCCCACCCCCGACCTCCATCAACTGCCTCTCCGTGCTCTCTGTGCTCTCGGCGCCATGCTCGCCCAAATCATCTGCTGTGTCCTCAACTGGCTGATCCAATGCCTCCTCCTGCTTGGGTTGGTCTGATGGCTGTCCATCTGCCTCTGCCTCTGCCTCTGCTGCCGTCTTGCTGCTCGTGCGGTCGTTGCGTGTCGGCTGCTGTGGTGGTGGTGGTGGTTGTTTGCCGTTGGCTTGTTGCTGCTGCTGCCGTTTGGCGTTTGGTGGTGTCCCTCTCCTGGTGTTGATTTTGTGTATGCGGTAGACGAAGGATGCGCTGCGCTCGACGGTGTGCAGGTCCATCATGTCGGTGTGGTCGATGAGGAACTCCAGACAGGCGTTGAACCTCTGGAGCACAGAGAGAGAGGGAGAGGGAGAGGGAGAGGTGACAGAGAGGTGAGGGGTGGGTGTGGTGTACCTTTCGTATGTGTGGAAGGTATGGCGGGAGGACGCGCGCAATGCCCCAGCCGATCTCGGCCACACTGACACACACACACACAGGGAGATAGTATGTGTGTGGGTGTGTGTGTATGGGCTGACTGTCTGTCTGCCTTACTACTGACCATCTTGGGGGGTAGTCGTACATGTGCTGCGTCATGTGTGCCAGCACCTGCACAACACAACACACACACCACCACACGCACATACAAACAACCAAGCACACGTGTGTGTGGGCGTGAGTGTGGGTGTGTGCGTGTCACTCACTATCTCGAAGAGGTATATGTCGTTGACTTTGTTCTTCCTGAAGGCCTCAATCATCTCCGCTATGATCGGCGGCGTCACACGACCTGCACGAACCACACACACACACACACAAACACCCCACACACAATACACCACACACACTTTTCCCCTTCCCTCCCTCCCTCCCTCCCTGTCTGTCTGTCTGTCTGTTTCGCTGACCGGCATTCCTGAGTATGTGCGTGAGCTGCATGGCGCACATCTCAAAGAAGCCAAAGTCCAGGTACTTGGCCGTCGCAAACGCCCCAGCCACCTCGGCCAGCTGCGCAATGCTCGGGCACATCAAAGGCGACACCAAACTCTGCCGCGTGTCCTCGTCAAAGCTGCCCTCAAAGGCCTGCGTGGCCAAGCCGATTCGCCGCTCGATGTCCTGCGCCGCGATCGCCATGAAGCCGTAGTCGTGCACATGGCACTCGGCGAAGGCACGCACCATCTGGACCACCTCAGCCACGGGGGCGCTCTCAATGTCGTCCGTGAAGTGCGTCCCCAGCTTGCGAAAGAGGTACTTGTCATGCACACGGACTCTCGCAAAGGCCACGGCGATCTGCACCAGCTGCTGGGTGGTGAAGAGGTGCGCCCGGGCAGCGAGAATGGTCGACAGCTGCACGACGTAGTGGCCCGCACTGAGCATGCCGAAGTACTTGGCCGCCCTCGGCAGGTTGAGGAACCTCCTCCTGATCCGGATGATGCGCGTGGCGATCAGGCGGAATCGCCAGTCGGTCGGGTCGCAGCCGCCCACCTCCACCAGCCTCTTCAGCGCCTTGAAGTAGTGGTAGGGCCGCTTGTGCCGCCGATGCCGGAAGTGCACCCAGGCATCGAGCACCTCGCTGGCGTTGGTGGCGCGGGCGATGCGTTTGGGCAGCTCCCACATCCACCGGTGGCTCCGCTTCTGCACTGTGAAGAAGGGTTTGTAGTTGTAGACGAGCCGCTGGTTGTGCTCGAGGCCTGCCGGGCGGAGGTAGCGCTCGACGTAGCGGCTCCACCGGCCCTTGCCGATCTTCTTGTGGAAGCGGTAGGTCACGGGATCGTCGGCCTTCTGCGCACCCGAGCGGACCTGCCATCGCTGCACATACAATCCCAATCACAGACAGGCACTACACTGATTGCAATGAGTGAGATCTGGACGCTGTTATGCAACATGTCGGAGATGTGTTGTGTTGTGTCTGGTGTGCGCACCCGTTGCTGCAGCAGACAGCGGGGAGGCGGTGCGCATGGGAGAGGGAGTGAAGTCAGTGCACAAGGGGCAGAAGCCGCTGATAGTGACGATGAATTCCAAGATCCCCTGTTGATCGTTGTGCACGACAAGGGCAGCCTCGCACTCCGAAACGTTGCCATGACTGGGCCTTTCTCCCTCGTGTGCAAGCTCACTGCCGATCGCCCGAGATCCCGATCTCGAGTTTCCAGCGCTTGGAGGCTAAGCCAGACTCTGCCCGGGGCAGCAGATCTTCCCTCTCTCTTGTCCCTCCCTTTGTTTCATCGAATCGGATGGATGTGGAACGTGATGTGGACATCGACATGGAGGCCGCACCGCAACCGCGAACCGGTCGCAAGAGGCCCTTCGAGAGCCCACCGCCCGAGCCGTCCGCCTTCACGAACTCACCTGCGTCATCAAACTACTCCTGCAAGCGCCCCCGGACGTCGAACGAGGGCAGCGATGGTGACGTGGCCATGTCGGGTGAGCACGACGGCGGCCAGTCCTCTGGCTCTGGCTCATCGTCGCTCGGCGTCCGCGCCATGAATGCGTCGCTGCGGCAGATGCGGCTGTCCTTCCACCCACAAGCTGCCACTGCTGCTGCACCAAACGGCATCACCACCAGCAGTGCACCCTTCCCGAGTCTACCACAGCCACCGGCCGCTGAGCCGCCTCAGCCAGGGATGACGTCGGCGTCGGCGTCTGCGTCTGTATCTGCGTCGGCGGTGGTGGGGATGGACGTCAGCGGTGGCAGTGGTTGCGGGACGCGTGTGTGTCAGTTGTGCGAGGGCAGGACTGTGGGCGGCGGCGGCGGTGGAGGTGGTGGGATGGTGCGGTGTACACATTGCGAGAGGGTGGCGTGTGGTGAGTGTGGCGGGGTGTGCGAGGCCTGCCGCCTGCCCTTCTGCCGACTCTGCACCACGCTCGAGTAAGCGACCAGCCCACTCAGACAGACAGACAGTCTGTTGAGATTTGTATGTTTGCTGCTGTTGGTTGTTGTTCAGTTACTCGTCGGATTTCCCTTTGCTCTTCTGCCTCGACTGCGCGGCGCGGCGGTGTGGCTGATGGATGGATGGATGGATGGATGGATGGACGGGTGTGCAGCGTATGTGATGGCTGGGTGCTGTGCTCCTGGAGCCGAGCCGGTGTGTGTAGATCTGTGGCCGGGGGCTCTGATGGTTCATTGTTTGACGGACGGACAGGTGTGGTGTGTACAATCGGGGTGTCGCAGCCGAGAGATGGTTTGCATGAGAACTGTAAGTAAGTTCGTTGTCTGTCTGTCTGTCAAGAGCATATAAACACCTGAGTGATACCTGTTTCTGTGTGCGTCTCGCTGGCTGGCTGGCTGGCTGGCTGCACATGGGTGGGGTGGGCTGGCGTGGCGTGATGTCTGACGGATGGACAAACGTGTGTCTGTCTGTGTACCCCTGTACACACAGCACCTTCAACACGACACGACACGGCCCGCAAAGCACCTTCAACAAACAGCACACCCCACGCACAAGCACAGAGGCAGGGAGGCAGGCAGGTAGCCAGAGAGGCAGCAAGACCAGGGCCACTTCTATGTTATGGATGTGTATCTGTGTGTGTGGCACGTGTGCGAGAGAGAGAGAGAGAATGCATATGCACCATACGTACGCACAAATTCTGAATCCGCCCACCCAGCCCCGCGCCCAGCCCAGCACAGAGGAGGAGACTCATTCTACTCATCATGTCATGGATACACACCATGGCCATTCTTCGTTGCCGGCACCCTGGACCACTTATTGATTGTGACAAAACAACAAACACATTGATATGATACGCCGGTCAGTCAGCTTACAAGATTACACAGTGACGAGGGTGGGCGGTGCCGGAGGTGATCTTTGCCCGCACGCGCACACCAACACGAAAATCGGCGGCGGGAGGGCGGGCGGCTGGCTGGCTAAACCACTGCCTGCGTGCCTGCGCACCTGCCTGCTTGATTGCTTGTTGCCTGCCTGCCTGCCTGCCTCGATCTCTCTCTCCCCTACAGACACACACACACACACATACATAAGTACACACGACTGAGTAATTGGCTGTGCCCTCTCTCTCTCTCTGTCTGTCTGTCTGTCTCTGTCTGTCTGCGTCTGTTGGTTGTCGATGGTGACTCACTGCACTGCACTGATACACACACGTCCGTCCACCCAGCCACAGAACCGCCAGCCAGCTGTGTGGGTCGCTAGCTAAGTATGGGCATTTAAGGTATCCTGTCTGGTCAGTCAGGTCAACAGCAATCACCCTCACACACACACACACACACACGCTTCAAGTATGTATGCATGTGTGTGTTCGTGTGTACGCAGAGAGATACACAGATATATAAATATGGCCATCCGGCCGCCTAGCCGGCCGGCCGCTGGGCAATGAACAGGAAACGGATGGATGGATCGATATCCATCGGATGGGATGACTGCTCCCTCCGGTCCGCCGAGTGGTCGGTCGAGTGAGTGAGTGAGTGAGTGGGCTGAATAGTACTCAAAACGTACCGTAACACCGCACACACACCGCACACAAACAAACAGCAGGAGCAGAGCAGAGTGCCTTCAACCGACCGAGCCAGCAGTCAGTGCCCCTCCATCTTTCCGTCCGTCCGTCCATCCGTCCGTCCATGCAGCAAACATCCGCACTCACACACACACGCATCCATGACATGTATCCACACACCCAGGCAGGCAGGCAGGCAGGCAAAGGAACAAAAGCCGGTCGGCCAATCGCCCAGCCATGTAGCCAGCCATTCACTCACGCACTGTACCGCACCGTCCGGCCCCGCTTAGCAGCCTTCGTCTGTCAAAATCGGCACCTCAGCAGCACCGGAAAATGCCGGCGAATTGGAGAGATCGAGACATACACAGACACATCTACAGACAGGTAGGTACTATAGTACACACACACGTGCGTACAGACGAAGGAACCAACGGACATGCAGGCGCCCCCGAAGCGCCTGGCGGCAAAACACCGAAGCCAAACGAAATGAGCCCAATCGATCACTCATCCACTCGGCCACTCATCCCATCAAACAAACAACCGGCTGTGCTGTATAGACAGGCAAACATGCAGGCAGGCACCAACACAGAATACTCAGATGAAATCTCGATGGCCACCCATCGATGGATCTCGATGGGCCATTCAATGCGCCATCCACACGCGCAGCCCGCTGCGCCACACACACACACACACACACACAGACAGACAGACAAAGCAGGGAGAGAGAGAAGGCAAGCCGGATGAATGAGGAAATACCCGCCCGACAGCAAACGGCGGGTCTGTCCCCCCACTCATCCGCTGACCATACCGTGTGGTGGTTTGTTATGTGTCAGTCAGGGAATGTCAGTTAGGAGGCGTCTTGGTGCGCTGTGCCTGTCGGCTGCCACACGGGAAGAACAGCAGGTTGGCAAACGGATGCACACCCAAATACGCCGCCGCACCATCCGCCCCCAAACCCCCATCGCCAGCAGCAACGGTCCGAGCGACCGGTGAGTTGCCGCATGAGCCGTCGCTGCCGTTGCCGTCCACCGTGGTGGTGGTCGAGGTGGACGCCGGCGTCCCGGGGGATGACTCACCGCCGCACGCCCTTCTACTAAGGTCGTCAGTGGTGGTGTCGCCCTTCTGAGGGAGGGGGATGAAGGCCGGCGGGGGTGTGGTCGGCACCATCAGACACACATCGCTGCTGCCGCTCCACACACACACACACACACACACACAGAGAGAGAGAGAGAGGGAGAGAGGGAGGCACTGCATTTTCACGTGGGTGTCTATGCTATGTTGGTGTGTGCTGGTGTGGTGGGTACCTTGCTAGTGTGGAGAGGGCCTTTGGTGAGAGGTTGGTTTTGGCTGCGAGTTTGATGAAGATGAGGCACTGGCAGTACTCCTCGGTCGTGACGCGCAGGCGGAAGTCGGTGTACCGGAGGAACACACGCTCCAGGATGTTGAGCTCCACCAAAGATATGCCTGGCCACAGACAGACAGGAGGCAAAATAAATAAGACACCAGAACAAACAGGGGAAGGGAGACCAATCTGTGTGTCAAGCCCGACCGCACCTCCAATTTTAGACCAGTAGAGGTTGTCGAAGAATTTGTCGTAGTAGGCCTTTCACAAGTCAGAAGGTGAGACAAGAAGCAGCCGTGAGACACACTATATATGCTGTCTGTCATTCATGGTGGGGGGACGGCATGGCATGTACCTTGGTGGTGGTGAGTGCGGCCGTGAGGAAGAGCCTGTGTCCGTTGACCAGCGTGAGGGCGATCTTGGGGTACTTGAGCAACACACGAGATATCAACACGAACATCACTATGCAACCATGAGTACCCAAATACCTGAAGAACACAATGCGCATCAGCCCACCGAACACACACAGAAGACAGAACACATACATACATGGCCGCTGAGTTCGTGTGAGCGTGCGTGTGTCCACCTCACCCATAAGTCAGAATGCGCTTGAGATACTCCGAGAGCGTGATGGACGGAGCCGTGGACGAGTCGAACACGGTGCTAAGCTGGCTGTGGTGGGGCGAGGTCTCGATCTTCTTGACCACCGAGAGCACCTCCTCCTCCTCCAACTTCAGGAAGCTGTCCATCTCAGCATCATGAAGCCGCTCGCACCCCTTCACCACCAGACCCACATCTACCTCCGCCAAACCGCCGACATCGTCCAACAGACACCCGTCCACATCAGCATCATGCGGCCCCTCCAGGCTATCCTGCGAAGACCCTCCCACCCCCCTCTCAACAACACCCTCGCTCAGCGACGACAGCGTCGTGGCCGTCTGGGGACTCCCGCCGCTGTCACTGTCCCGCGCCTTCCCATGTTGGTGGTGTTGGTGGTGGTGCGATGGCCGGGCGGCATGCACATTGCCGATGGGCCGGGGGATGGACACGGGGATGGGCGGGCGGATGATGGGCGGGAAGAACCCTGGACGAGTGGTCGAATGAGGGTGGCCATGTACGTGGGGGGGGAAAGCGACGGGCACCACAGTGACAGTGGGCTGGGGCGCTGTGGCCTCGGGCGACTCACTTCTCGGCGAGGTGGCGATCATGGTCAAGAGAATCAGCTCAGCAACAAGTTACTTGAACAGGAGTGGGAAGGAAAGCACAGACAGAAACGCATGTGAAGCGCTGCTTATGAAGAAGCAGCAAGGAAGGAAGCAGCGCTTATGACTTGGGCTACATGTAGGCTTCAACGCGCGAGCATCATCATGTTCGACAATTTGCGAGCTAAGCTGCAACTGACAGCTTGAATCGTTCGTTCGTTAAGAAGGAAGTCCCGGCCCCTGAGGGCAGATGCTTAGGCTTGACGTGCTGCTTCGAGCAGATGGACAACTGGATCGTGTTGGAGCAACTTGCAATGGGGAAGGCTCGTGGCCGGGCACGTGTGGTGAAGGCCAAGAGAAAAGCCGACGGGAGGCTGTTCGCAATGAAAATTGTGAGCGCTGCCTCATTGGCTGATGCCAAAGAAGCTTACCGAGAGGCCATCGCTGCCAGGTTCGCACCCACAGGCCGGACATGCCATTGGCATGCACCCTCGTCGTAATCTTTGTGTGTGTGTCTGCAGTGGCTGCGACTCGCCCAACATTATCCGTGTTGAGCACCAGGCGTCTTTTTACTATGAGACCACCGATGCGGATGGATTGCCAGTCGTCAGAGTGGTCATAATTATGGAGCTGTGCGATGGGGACCTCCTCTCGTACATATCACGACGGAAGGAAAAGGGCAGCAATCTCACCATTGAGGAGGTGAGCAGACCAACTTGGCGGGG